GGGGAGAGGGAGACTTGTGCGGGTGAGAGGGCGACAGCGGCTGTCGCCGGTGAGAGGTGAGAGTTTTTTTTTTTTCCTTTTCAAAGGGCGGGTGAGTGGGGAGGGGAGTGAATTTGAAATGTAGGGGTTGTTTGTTTAGAGCCAAATTTGATTTTTTATTTAAGGGTATATAATTAATTTTATATTTAAGTTAGGGCGAGGTTTAGCAATTCTTAGGGCGACATTTAGCGATTCAGTTTAATATTTAGTATGATTTAAGCAAGACATAAGTTTATGAACAATATCAATCACTATATTCAATCTATTTTAAATATTATGAAATGTATATTTTTAGTGAAAATTTTATATGGGATATAATATGACAACCTTTTTCTATTTAACTTTGTTGCTATGGATTGAAATATGATTTTCTGTCGTCGACTGGAAGTTACGCAAGTCTTGTTGACCGGTCAGCGAGTCGGGGTCCAAGGAAGATGCATCTGGTTTGGGGGCTCAATGTGGCGCCTGATCCAAGGTTGTTTGGCCTAATCGATTTTGAGTTACAAATTCATGAGTTTGGTCAACCCATACAATCACAAATAAATTTAGTTGGTTATATAGTTCATGTTTTTTAGTGAAAGTTTTCCATGGAATGATAGTATGATATCCTTATTCCTATTTAACTTTGTTGCTATGTCAAAAAACAACATTTATTCCCGTCGACTGGAAATTACGAGGTTTTCGCTGACCGATTTGAGTGCTTGGGGACGTAACGTGGCCCCTGATCCAATGGTGTATGGCCAAATCTATTTTGTGAATTTTTTATAGAGTTTTTGATAAAAAATTTAATTGGAATGCTTTGAATTTATTATTCCTCTTCCATCATATTTAGTAAATACTCCGGTAAATAAACATATTGTAACCGTTTATAAATTTTGTATCTGTACTATTGTCAAACCGTTTTATTTATCGTTCATTTGATAGCTCCCGTATTAAGCACGTATAAACCCCATATAGCACATTTAATATCGGTATTTAATGAATTAAATTATTAACTTTACCATTATTTATATATTTATGTATTTTCAAAATAATTAGTTTTATATAATTATGACTATTAACAAACTATTAAACGTAACATTAACTTAGAAATGAAGTAAAATATCCATATGTATTTTATACGTAACTTTGTCATACCGTATTTTACTAATTATGTCTCTCATAATAATCATAATCTTCAGGAAAAAAAAATATTTGCATAAAAAAAAAGGGGGAAAAAGGAAAAAATCGAGACAAGGAAGTTGAGGGTCGGGCTTCCTTTCCCCTTCCCATCTTTCTTCTTCGTCTTTCCCGTCCTTTCCCCAGAATTCTAGGTTTCCGGCGAGTCAGAGAAACGCCACTACACTCTACCGGCGAGATTGAAGACTGCCCTCCACCGGCGAGATTGAAGACGGCCGGCGAGATTGAAGTCGCTCCACTAGACTCGGCCTGCCGTGCTCCAGTCGTTCGATTTAGCTCAGACGTCCGTTCCTCTACAAGACTCGGCCTGCCCCTGCTCCAATCGTTCGATTCTCAATCGTCCGTGCCTCCACAAGGCGACCAAGCAATTACCTCCACCCTCTCCTTCAGCTCAACTACGTTGGGTTCCCCTCTACCTCTCCGATGGCAGAATCAGAGAAAGCCGATGTTGAGAATCCTCTACAAAAAGACGAAGGTACGAAGGCCGCTGTCTCTATGCCTTCTGATGAATCAATATTAGCCATGGTTTTTGATACCTTGGAAGGAGCTGAATTGTTTTACAATGCTTATGCAAAAAAAATTGGTTTTAGCATTCACAAACGAGATTCGCGACAGTCGCGTAGTGGACAAATGCTAATGCAGAAATGGGTGTGCTCAAAGGAGGGCTATCGTCAGAAAAAATGATAAACTATGCTGCTCGTATACGCAAGCCTCGGCGATTGACTAGGGGAGGTTGTGAAGCGATGATTCGTGTAAATCTGGATCGCGACACTGGAAAATGGGTTGTCAAGTCACTTGTATCGGCTCACAATCATAAGTTGGTGCCATCCAAGTATGTACATCTTCTGTGTTCCCATCGTGAAATCAAAGAAGGTGATGAAGCTTGATTGAGTCGTTGAGTACAGTTGGAGTAAGTACACGACATATTACTGAGATTTGCAAGGAACAACATGGAGGCTATCAGAATATGGGTTTCATTCCGAAAGATGTGGAGAATAAAGTCCAAGCCATTCGAAAGAACAAGATTAAAGGTGGTGATGCAAATACTACCATCGGATACTTCGAGGGAAGGGGACAAGCAGATTCAAGCTTTAGTTTCGACTATACGTTGAAAGAGGGTAATATACTTGGTAACTTGTTTTGGGCAGATTCGACTTCTAGATCTGACTGTGCAGTCACTAGGGATGGCAATGGGTCGGGTTGGGTCGGGTTTTGCCAAACCCAAACCCAAACCCATGGGTTTATCTTTGAAAAAAACCCGGGGTAAAACCCACTGGGTTTGAAAAACTCAAACCCAACCCAACCCGTTGGGTATCCGCGGGTTCATGGGTACCCACGGGTTTTGTCGTAAAAAATTTACAATTACAAGTTCTTATCAAAATTAAAGTCAAATATCAATCTCTCAATACAAATTATCCATATATAAAACACCATTCTAGAAAATTCAAGCAAATCACAAATTAACTATACAAATTGTTCAACACCAATCTAGAAAACTCAAACAAATTGAAGCAAATCACAAATTTTCCATAAATAACATGTTTAATTGAAAGCTTCTTCCTTTCAATTAAGTTTCTTTACTCTCCACTCCATAACATCAACTTGATTCTACACAATTAAAAAGAAAAAATTAGACATGTCTCCACAAACATAAATAAGATTAGTTGTTTAGAATATTAAATATACCGAAAAAATTAATTATATGGGTGGGCGGGTACCCACGGGCCGGGTTTACCTAAACCCAAACCCAACCCGTTGAATAGTGAACGGGTTTAAACCCAAACCCGGCCCAAAACCCGTCAACACGGATTTTACCCGCGTTGACCGGGTTGGGTCGGATGGGTACCCGTGGGTTCGGTTTTTGTTGCCATCCCTAGCAGTCACCGGATCTATGTCAATTTCTTTGATTTTGAACTTCGTGCAAAAAGAAATTATTATAGTTATCAAGTTTTCAAATTATAACAAAAAAATAATTAAATGATTAAAATTCTAGTTGAACAATATCCAAGTTTATTGTACCTTATTTTCCCAATCATCATCTTTTTTTTTTTTGATCGACCGCCTTTTTTAGTACCTTGCTGTTTAGGACCTTGTTGTCTACCCCGACCTCTTACCGCTGGTTTGGCGGCCACATAAGGAAACTGAAATTGTGGATCGGCTTTGAGTACGTCTTTATTTCGAAGTCCCATGTTTGAATCCTCTCTTGATCGATTCTTTTGATCTACTCCAGCCATAAGTCTCTCAAATGAATCTGTTTCATCTTCCTCCTGCCACAATTGAAAACAAGATTACCACAAGAAATTAAAATAATTATAGAAGCTGGTCATATTAATCTCCACGAAACAATAATGTTATCCATCACCTAATCACAAGCACTAATAATTAGAGAATACATAGGGAATGAACACGCATACACTTACATGTTGATTTGCCTTTCTTTTCTTTTCATTTTGAGATGGAATTGCATCAGTTATCGTGTTTCCTTGTTTTTTCTTAGGGTTAATGACTAAAGACACCCCTCTACTTTGGTGCTTTTAACAAACACACTCCTCTACTATCTTATTTAACAAACACATCTCTTTACAATTTCGGTGGTAACAAACACACCCTTCTGTCTCTTTTCCGTCTTCTATCCGTTATGTTTTGGCCCCACCCTCCTAGTCAGCAAACTTTCACTTATCACGTTACTATTTTGCCCTTTGCTTCAAATTTTGGAGACTTAATTACCTTAATTAATCTCCCAAAATCTCGTTTTCACCTAGCTAAATAAGATTAAAAAATGTAAAGATAATTAAGTCTCCAAAACGAGATTTGGGGAGGATTAATTAAGTTAATTAAGTCTCCAAAATTTGAAGCAAAGGGCAAAATAGTAACGTGATAAGTGAAAGTTTGCTGACTAGGAGGGTGGGGCCAAAACATAACGGATAGAAGACGGAAAAGAGACAGAAGGGTGTGTTTGTTACCACAGAAATTGTACAGGAGTGTGTTTGTTAAACAAGATAGTAGAGGAGTGTGTTTGTTAAAAGCACCAAAGTAGAGGGGTGTCTTTAGTCATTAACCCTTTTTCTTAAGCCAACAAGTTCAATAAATCATCATATATAAAAAATTGCAAACTCAATTTGCAGACTCAAAATGGTTTTTAAACTAAAAAAATTACCAGGTGGTTTCTCTTAGCTTTTCATAATTCTGGAGGTGAGCTTGCATCATCTGAAAGCTCCATATTATCTTCTTTTGTCGTTAAATCATGGACTATGTTATTCAACTTATCATAAAGAATAGTTGAATCTTCAATTGTAGTCAGATAGTCTCCGCTTTTCTTGTCTCCATTGATCGTACCATTCGCGTCAACCTTAACTTCCTCTTGTTTTCTTGTAAGAACATGCACTGTCGGCTCATGCTCTATGATTATTTTTGGACCTCCACTTTGCAACTGACTTTGAATAGTGCCCAAAGTTGTGAGTATTTGTGACATGGCATCAGACATCTCTTTTTTCAATTCACCTAATTGTGACTTCGCAGAATGCATTTCTTTTTGGAACTCATTTATCAATTGACCAATTTCTACTTTAATATCATGTGTCAAACATGAATACAATAAAAAAATTAAATTATTCTATCAATAATACATTACTTCATCAATTTAAGATATGAGATAGTATAAGATACACTCATAATAAATAAATAAAATCTATCTAACCTCAATTGTGAAACAACTACCAGTATCTCCGCCAAATCCCACCTCCATACAAAGAAATTGAACGATTAGTTTTAGTCACAGTCAATTATTGGACAAAAATATTAATATTTACCTGTATGCTATCAACTCCGCCTAAACTAGAAACCTTGTTAACAATCTTTGAAATGGACTTGTCATTCCAATGTCGTATGCGTGGTAAGGAGCTTGAATGACGAGTCAAGATATGCATATTCACGTGTTCTAGGTAAAATATCTACAAAATAAGAAAGTAATATCCAATTTGATAGTCTGAAAATGTAAACGTTATGATATTTTGATTAACAAAACTTACTTAAGAAAGTAGAACTCACATACCTCAAGTAATAAAACGCAACCAGTCACGTGTTGATCTCTTGATGCTCCATCCGATTTTTTTTTATAATCTTTTATACCCTCTAAAAGACCATCATAGACGAACTTCGCCCAATTCAAGTTCCCCACAACGTTAACATTGGCCAATATTTTCAAATAATTGTTGTGAACATGAACGGCAGTAGATGGTCTCAATATTCTACACATTAAATATAAAAGAAATTTCCCCCTAAACTCTTCACCGACTGTGAGATCGTTTAACAAATCTGTTTTCAATCTAGAACATTTTATTTGTCCAGTACCCAAATTAAATTTTACCCTCACTTCATCATCCTCGCCAAGTTGGGTTTCCACATTCATGCCCCCAGCATGTAAACCCAATGTGGTGACAACATCATTAACACTTAGGGTAAAACGATTACCATGCACACTTAGTTGACTAGTAGTCACATTAAACCTCATCATAAGGTCCTCAAGAAGCTGCATCTTCAATTTATGCTTCTTCAGATGCAAGAGCCCTCCAAATCCCATATCTAGAATGCCCTTTTTTTATCATCAGATAAACTTTCTAAGAGTCCACATAATTCTTGTACGCCACAACGACTGCTCAAATATACCTACATTATTTGAATTATGAAAAAGTGAATTGTTATTATATAGACAAATGTATAGGGCATATCTCAACGTGTAGAACCAAAACTAAATACCTTTTTTGTTGAAGCATCCATAGCATCGATCTTATCCTTGTCGGTTTCTTCATTTAAACGTGTAGACCCATCTTCTTGCTTCTCCTAAACATCATGAATTTAAATTTATTACAACTTCATCTGAGACAAATGCTTCATATAAACTCAATAAATAATTAACAAAGTCATAAGCTTAATACCATTTTCTTTCTTGTTTGCTTTTCACCATCAGCCCGTGAAGAAATACCTTCATCCATCATACTCATTTGTAAGCTGTATTGAGTAGAACTAATATAAATTAAAACATACATTAAAGCTTAACCTAAAAAGAACAGAACATTTAATGGACAACAAAGCTCTCTTCATCGAGAACTCCAAGCCTGCAGTCTTTGTTTTCCAATATTGAAAGTCTCCAAATATAGGTTCCATAATTCAAACAAACCATATAATTGCACTGCCCTGCACCAAAACACAGACCATCCAAGAGAAAGAAAAAGACAGAAAGGACAAAACCATTATATCACCTTCAAAGCCGCCAACGGTGGAGAATCGTCGATCCGACGTTGGAGTCCAGTCCTTCAAACTAATCGCCACCTTCAGCTGCTCTCAAGTCTCAACACGGCGCCACGAACACCCCTCCACCGTCTATAGTCGCCGAAGTCTGGGATAGTCTCACGGGTTCCCCTGCCGCAGCGAGAAGTGTGAGGAGATCGTCGATTACAAAAAGCAATTGAAGGAGAAGGACAAACAACTGGGGAACTGAAGACTCAATTGATATCCAAGGAGCTTAGATCTGGAGTTGGCGAAGAGGGATCTGGAGAAGTACCGCAACTGGTGCTGCGATTTCAGATACGGGTACCGCGATGCGATCGTGGCTTCCGAGGCGCCGGCGAAGAGCCGGCAGAGGCGGATGAAGGCTGCGAGGCCAGTGTTCGTATCCCCTGTCTCCGCCGACGGTGTCGATCCGTTCCGTGCGGTGCCGGGTCCGTCGTTGAAGGAGGAGGCGGTGGGTGCTTCTGGCGGCTGACGGGACAGAGAGATCCCACAAGTCGGCGGATAAGCAATCTGCGGATTGGGAAAACCTAATTCTAATGCATAAACAATTTGGCCGACTCCTAATTGGCATGGGAAAACCTATCTTTCAAACCGACAATCTCTTCCCTTAGAATTCCGGCGACATTTTCGGCGGCCAGGCGTACCAGTACAGCCGGTTTCCCATCTGCGCGTGTTTTTTTTTTTTTTACATCAATGGTTGTAATGGCCGGTTGTCAATTTTAATGGCTCAGATTTGTTGGGGGAAAAAAACAAGTCACCTAACTTGAAAAAAGTACAAGGTACTGTAGGAGGTGCCTACTTTTTGTTTACAAAACATAATCTTGTATGGATTCCATAGAAGAGATAGTTACATCTTGGAAATCAGTCAAGGCTGAAAATTAAAGAAACGACTCATAATTGGGTAAAGGAGAGAGCCTTTCTAGCCATCAAATGGGCTACCCTATTGCTACTCCGACCTATGAATCAAACACTAAACCTGGGATTGCTGGCAAAATAATGCGCTACTTCTTCCAGCATAGCACCCATCCTGTTGTCCCTTGTATCGGCTCGCCTGATTTTGTCGATGACCACCTTGGCATCCCCCTCAAACCTAACGCAAGTTAAGCCCTGGCCCAGACAACAGAGAATAGCCTCACGGAGTACAAGCAATTCCACCACCAAAGGGTCATCTAGGACTGGAAATTGTACCCCTAGGGCCATGAGGATGTCCCAATCTGGGGTCATAAGCACCAGCCCTCCTGCTGAATGCGATCTCCTTCTACAAGAATCTATACTCTATACTATATACAAAGCATATTCATGGATTGAATTTTCTCCATTTGTTTTTTATTTTATGCCTCGAGCCCTTGACTCATGTTAATTAAGAATGCTCATTCTGAATCTTGATATTAGGTCATTTTCTGATTTCTCTAACAGCTTCTACAACGACACTCTCATGCATGGATGCAAAATGGTCACAAACTCTATAGCATATTTGCTTGTGCAAAATGAGTAACGTTAATGTTGTATCGAGAGTGGTTTTCACATCATCGTGGTACATCTTCAACATGCTACTTCATATTGTTGATCAACATGTTACTTCATCGTGATACATTTTCATCATGAAACTTCATCTTGGAATTTAGCGCGCAGTGTTGTCAAAATCGAACCAGATATCGTTTCGGATAAACAAGAGATTCAAGGTTTATCGTATAACCGTTGATTAATGGGTATTAAAAACCGGTCACAAACCGATGCTTGCTATAGATAAAAAGAAAGAAGAATAGAGTAAGAATAAAAAAATAAAGTCAAAACTGAAAAGGTAAGTGAGTGATTAGCCGTCACTTCCTATTTATCTGTTGCCTTCATTCTTTTGTTTTTTAATTATTAAATAACTGAAATTTCTAAAGCCAGGCGGCGGTGTCTTTTCCGCAAGCCCACCCGCTTTTATGCTGCCGGGATTGGATCTATGGCCGGATCCGGGTTTTTCCGGTTGGGCCGGCCCGATTTTCATAACACATGAATTTAGTGACAACAACATATCAAAATATATAATAATCAAACTCTCTAGGACAAAGACCGGGCCCGGTACTAGTAAGCTTGGATATTTTATTAGCTAACCAAAATTATAGATAAACACAAGATCCGCAGTCTAAACGATGAAGGGTGCTTAGCTTTGGATAGAGAGGGAGTATCCCAACATAGCCACAACTCTTATATCTTGCTAGACTAAAATACTAAGTCTAGACTCGTGATCTGATTTGGATCGTAGTTCACCGTAAAATGGAGATACACTTTAGCTATTCAATTATGGATACAATTACCCTATTTAAACTAACTCCCCAGACTTGCGTCTTCAGACTTCAGGTGTAGCTTGTGTGATATTTCGTACTTTTCAGAGGGATGGCAATGGGTCAGGTCGGGGCGGATAGTGCATATTCGTTACTCTACCCAAAGCATATCGGTTTTATTCATTCCCATACTCACATAAGAAACGGGTAAAAAATCAAAACCATATCCATATCCGTTCGGGTTTCGGGTATCCACGGTTATCCATGAATAATAATTTCTCTTCATAACTCCAACCAATATGTTAACATTCACACATATTCTCACATTTTGAAAGAGAAAAAGTACGACAATAATTCAGTGGAATGAAGAAAATTAATTAAAACAATACAATTTCATGAAAATATTATATCTATATGCTAAATATAAAATATGTTTGACAAAAATAATGGTTATTTCTAGAAAAAAATACATATGCATGTGTATAATCGGGCGGGATCGGGTTGGATAGTGAGAAATCCATGCCCACCCATTACCCGCCATATTCGGGTTCGGGTTTTACCCTACCCGATTAGATCGAATTCGGGCGGATATCCACGGTTACGGATATTTTTGCCATCCCTACTTTTCAGATACAAATTGCTTTCAAAATCATTGGGAAACTTCTAGAAGGTTCCATGAGTCCCTCGGACTAATTTTGGTAATGGTGGCCTACAAGGCGGTCTGGAGGACTCAAGATACAGTACATAATCATGGGTTATGTATTTATAAGTAACTAAATCTGAACCTTTATTCAGAAATTTCAGACTTAAGGTTGGAAAACTAAAAGCATTTTTATTTTTCATTGTTTTCTTAATCGACTCGTATCTTCTTCGTTTTAACTCGCATTTCAATTTTTTTTGCACAGATGGAACGAGTTCGTTATACTCTACAAATGAGATCAATTTTCAATATTTTTTGAGAAAAAAAAAATTATTGCCTCTCGGTACCAACTGCATACCATATGATATCTTATTCATTCTTGAAATTTTTTGCACAGAAGGAACCAGTTCATCATGATCTATTGGATCTACAAATTTCTGGGTGAACAATATACAGGACAAAAAAATATCAAACAATACCACTCTGGTACGGGGTGGTATCTTGTGGTATACAATGTTAAAAGTCGTAAATGACAATTAATATACTTCTACTATCATGTATTCAACCATCCTACAGCCTTGGTTTGTTCATACCACCATGGTACGCTTTTCTTACCATAGGTATGTAATTATTTCTATACCAGTCAATACCATATGGAATATACTGGTAAAAAATGGCTCAAATTTTTTTGTTTCAAAAATATATCAAAGTGGATATCATTTTGAAGAGCATAATTAATCTGATTTAACTGTGCAAGATTAAGAGAAAGAAATTAAAGGCTTTTCACGAAAGATAAGGGGCGCTGATGTGACGGATTCGAATTTGATTATGCATAGTTATTGACCACAAGGTTATTGACTGGATCTGCTCCTGTCTGGAGCATGATTGCCTCATTTGTGCTCGGATTGGGATGACATATGTTGCATAGCTGTGAAGGAGGGTTTCCAAAAAAATGCAAAAGAAAAAAGTAAGACGGAGAAGCGAATATAACCTATGACCTAGGAATCGAAGCAAGCAAGATGAAGGCAACCATCCAAGGAATTGTTAACTATCAACTTAGCAAAGGGAGAAGAATATGATTCCAAGCGTTACCATGATGATTTAAGGTTACCAACTCCAAAAGAAAACATTAACAAAAAAATGTATGCATGGATTTGCAGATTCGGCATGTGCATGCACATTGCACTGTCCGAACTCTGTAACACACACCTTGCCTTAATTAATTAATCACAAATCTTGATAGCTTATTAATCTCAACCCAACAACTCCGTCCATCCACCCATCCTAATTAATTTCCTGCCCATGGAGACCCAACAAGCTCACATTTCTGCCGCCGCACCGGCGCCGCCAGCCCCGCTAGGTGATTACGAAGACTTTCAGCCACTCTCCACGTGGCAAACCACCGAATCCCACCACATTGTTCGCCTCCATCTTCATGGTACGTTCTGATCACAGAGAGACACCCCCTAGCTTTGGCAACTAAAATCACCGGAGAGCAAATCAAAATGACTGTTTATTTTAAATTTTTTTTTTTTGTTCCTGATTTCATAAGGTTTTAGAAAGGAGCAGATGAGAGTCCGACTAGATAGCCGTGGAATCCTGTCAATAACCGGAGAGCGCCCTGCTGCCGAGGAGGAGGCCAATGAACGTTCACATTCGGGCCGGAGGCGGCATCGTCGGTTCCGCAAGGAAATCAAGGTGGCTTGCCGGTCGCCGGACAAGATTCGTGCTAAGTTTTCAGCCGGAGTTCTGACGGTGGCGCTGCCTTTGGAAGCTAATCCTCGCGACCACAACGAGGATAGCGTTTCCACGAGGATTAGCATCAACCTTGAAAGTGCGCCGTTGTATTGTTCGGCGGCGGCGATGTCCGGTTACTTGTGGCGGCTGAGGAAGTGGTTCGAGAATTTGCCGAGAGTGGGGAAGGTGTGCTTGGTTCTGCTTGGCGTGGCGCTGCTGATGGGTCTTGTTGCCGCGCTGAGCGTCTCTTTTTGGATTAGTAGTCGTCATGTCACCCACTAAATGATCACGGGAGAGAGGTTATATTATTATTCAGAGATGACATAATTATGATTATGATGCATTTGAAATTCGTTGTAATAGCGTGTTTCAAATTTACATAAACGCAACCATAAATGATATACCAAAATGAAGATACGCAGAGTGGCGGGGTTATAAAATTTGTGTTCGATGCACACTCCCTTCTACATCTATGCTAACAATGTCAAGTATAACAAAGTTGGAAATGTACTAAAGCGGCTCGGTCGTATTCCACGAGGCCTTGAATCTTTTGCTACTTGAGGACTAATTAATTTACTATTTAACTTAAACGATAATTGGGTGTATTATAAACTAATTGAATGATTACCTTGTGTTTTGGTTCGAGGATAGGAGATGTACTTGGGATAGCTTTCCACTAAATATATTCAGGCACGAATACAAATGAGATGTTCTTTTCCTTAATGATGCCGGATTCCTCTTATATCGCTACCAAGGCAATGATCATGTCACTTGATATATGTGTTTTTTATGATATGTTGTTTTGATGGTCCGAAGTATATTATTTATGGGAAAAAATCCAAAACTACCACTGTTTAAAAAAAATTTACAAAAATACCACCCTCACCAAATAATTTCCAAAAATACCATCGTTTATATAAAACCGCGCCTCTGATGAGCGGTTTTCAATAAAACCGCAGCCTAGAGGCGCGGTTCCCTTATAACCGCTCCTTGGACGCGCGTTTTTATTTTGCAGAGAAAACCGCTTCTGGGACGCGCGGTTATAGGCTAACCCTACCACAAAACGCTTTAAGAGGAAGCGTTTAAATGTCGGCATTACAAACCGCCTGATAAAGGGGCGGTTTAAAATGTCAGGACACAAACCGCCGACACCCGACATGTCGGACATGTCGGCATGCAGGGGTAGGGCTGCATGGCAGACATAAAACGGCTCCACCCCCCAAGCGGTTTTGCTGCAAAATTTGCCTATAAAAGGCTGTTTCGGAGAACACAATTCTTCACACTTCCTTCCTCAAAATTTCTGCTTTGCACCTTTAAATTATTTATCAGCTGTCGATTAACGTTAATTCGTAAGTTTGTTTCGTAATTACTTTTCATTGTCTTTGTGATTTTATGTTAGTAACTTAATTACTTTTGATTGTCCTTTGTAATGTTATGTTAGTAACTTAATTACTTTTCATTGTCATTTGTGATTTTATGTTAGTAATTTGAATTACTTTTCATTGTCCTTTGTGATGTTATGTTAGTAACTTGTGTTACTTTTCATTGTCATTTGTGATTTTATGTTAGTATTTTGAATTACTTTTCATTTTTCTTTGTGTTGTTATGTTAGTAACTTGTGTTACTTTTCATTGCAGATGGCATTCCAAAGGTTCACGCTTGGGTTGCGGTGGAATGGTTACACGGAAGAGACCGAAAAGGGTGTAAGTTACGTCGGTGGCAATTTTCATAAAATGAAGGTCCGTACGAGACTGATGCTTGAAGAGCTCTATCAAATGTGCACTCAGATTACCTGCATTGATGGCACTAGAAGAGTTGATCGAATGGTGTATCGATATCCAAACAGACATGACGGGTCGCTGTGGTATGAGGAATTCCTCCTTACCACTCAGGAGGACGTTGATGCCATGGTCCAATTTTTGACCACCAATACAATGAAGCAAGCGGAGATGTTCGTTTACACCGAGGCCGTTGAAGGCAGTGTAGGTCATTCTGGAGCTGGCCAAACATCTGGTATCCTCGGTGGGAGTGTATTATACGAAGATCATCCCCACCAGGATTTCCAAGACTCGAGTTGGAGTCAGGCGGAGTATCATCATGGAACTGGAGGAAGTCATCAATCCTTCCCTTCATATGAAGAAGAAGCTCAACAGGCGGATTACAACCAACAAGCAGGCTACCAGTACCCACCCGAGTACAACTTCTATCAAAGCGGTGTTAGTTACCACAACTACCATTACGGAGCTAGTGAAGGTCAAGGTGCCTTTCATGCTGATAATCAAGATGAAGAAGAGGTCAATCCAAGTCCAGTTAGTGACCCTGAGGTTGAAGAAGAGGAAGGCGAAGTTAGTGCAGACAGCTCCGATCCGCTGGAAGGTGCTGATGATTCCGGTCCAGATTCAGACGCAGATGGTGATGAGGTACCTCACAACCGTTTACCTATTCCATACTACAATCACATTCAAAGTGAAGATTGGTATGTTGATGCCGACATGGACCCACCAGATGTGCCAGTATGGGGTCCACTAACTGGCTTTTCGAAGGGCCAACAATTTGCAACGAAGAATGAGGTTCGACACGCTATTTCCACTGAAGCAATGACTCGGAGTTTTGAATGGCAGACAACCCATTCCGACACAAAGAGGCTGATGGTTCGATGCAAAAACCACAATGAGGGATGCGCTTCTAGGGTCCGGGCCATCAAGAGCAAGAGAGTCGGTCATTGGGTCATATCCCGTGCGGTGAACACACACACATGTGTGTCATCAATAACATCCCAAGGCCATCGACAGTTGAAATCAAGGGTGGTTGCCGCGGCTATCAAACATCTAATTGAGGAGCAGCCCGACTTGAAGGTGAAAACCATCATCGCCCACATTTCTAGTCGTTATGGTTATATCATTAACTACAAGAAAGCGTGGCATGGGAAACAGAAAGCAATGGCTGCCGTGTTTGGTGACTGGGAAGAATCATATGCATTCCTTCCCAAACTGATTTTGGCGTTGGAGGTGTCTAACCCTGGAACCATTTTCTCGCCTCGCTACCAAGATGAAGAAATTCAATCGCCGGTGACTGGTAACAATCGCCAATTCAAGCGTCTTTTCTGGGCCTTCAAGCCATGTTTTGATGGTTTTCCATTCAAGCACATTCGTTGTGCCCCTATAGCGGACTATATGGTATGCATCCTAGAGAAGAATTTAAATTTCACTATAAGTTGATGATTTATACATATATAAATATATTATAAGATACAATTTATATATACATTATCTAATAAACATTAATTTTAACATATACATTATCTAATAAACATTAATATTAACATATACATTATCTAATAAACATTAATTTTAACATATACATTATCTAATAAACATTAATATTAACATAAGTAAAATAATTTCGTAAGATGCAATATTAATTAAATGAAGCGATTTTATAGAAATATACATTGTCTAATAAACATTAATATTAACATAACTAAAATAATATCCAAATATATTATTTTGTTAATCGTATTGATTATTTTCAATAATTTAAAGCAATACAAGTACACTCGTAAGACTCTTAGGAGAGGTATACATCTCCTTAGAAACACAGTCTTTTTGACAGAAAAAGGGGGGATCCGAGGATCGCTTAGAACCCGATTTTCCCAGGTCATGGGGGGATCATGATGATCGCTTAAGTCCCCATTTCCTTAAACATGCATTTCTTTATAAAGAGTCTAAATAAGTGTTGTATTGTATTGATTTAAATTATTGAAAATAATCAATACGATTAACAATTAAGTAAATTATTGTACAAACAAATAAATTACTTTAACAAAATACAAATTACAAGTGATGATAAATAATATGTACCTTGTGGTCGTTCCAAACGTCTCTTGAACGATGATTTGCTTGATCGTATAAAACTGTCGGATCAATGGGTCCTTGCTCAACATAATATCGTTGATTGAAAATATCAACATCCGGCCCAACCTACGATAGCATAACAATAATACAAATCATTAGTATATAAATTAAATAAATCATTATAACAACAACAACAATTGGAAAAAATGAGTACGTACCGTTTGATAATCATAAAAAAAAGGGCCCTCTTCTTGAGCGAAATCGGCCATTCTCTCGGAATCCGGACAGAGGTTCGACGGTTTTTTAGTGAAAACCAAAGAAAAGTTTTTTGGAGGCAGATCGGACTTAGGCCGCAACCAACAAAAAAACGTTTCTAAGGTTTTTGGGTGGGGAGGGGAGTGGATAGGGAGAAGTTAGAGGGAGAGAGGGGGGGGGGGGGGGAATGAGGTTGGTGTGCAGAAAAGTGAAGAGGGAGGGGGTTTATATAGGGTACAAACCGCGTCCCCGAGGGCCATTTCGTCAATTTTTTCCAACGAAAACCGCGCCTCGGAGACGCGGTTTGATTCTCCCGAACAGTCAACCGCGCCTCGGGGACGCGGTTTGATTCTCCCGAACAGTCAAACCGCGCCTCGGGGACGCGGTTTGATTTTCCCGAACAGTCAAACCGCGCCTCGGGGATGCGGTTTACTTGGCCGACGCGGATCGCCGAGCTGGCACACGTTTTGGCCGTTAGATCGCTCTCCCAGCGAGCGGTTTAATGAACCGCCACGTGGACACGCGGTTTGACAGCCATGCAAGGTCAAACCGCTCCTTGGTGGCGCGTTTTGTGATAAAACCGCACCTCTAGGCTGCGGTTTCATTGAAAACCGCTCATCAGAGGCGCGATTTTATATAAACGATGGTATTTTTGGAAATTATTTGGTGAGGGTGGTATTTTTGTAAATTTTTTTTTTAAACAGTGGTAGTTTTGGATTTTTTCCTTATTTATGGGTAGAGAGAAGACCCAAATTCCAAATAATTCTCCTAAGATTTAATCTCAACCATGATGGAAGAGCTATGACACGAAGATAACTAGCTCTTTGGAGTTAATAATCTTGGATAACTACTTTTTCTAAAACCAATTTAAGCAAATGTAATTCTCATATGATACCATAACACATGGGTTTCATAATAGAACATATTAAAGATGAGATAACTCCCTAATACCAAAAGTTATCTTACAGTCTCACAATTGATCGATATGATGAATACCCACGATTGTTTCTTATAGGAAATTATAAGGCCCACCTAAATTGTTAAATTTGTTGTCTTTAGTTGATTGTCATAAGTTCCCTAATTGATCTAGTTGGTAATGAGAGTCGTGGTGGTTATAATTTAGCAACCTTAATTTCTTCAATGTACAACGACATTATTAAAAAGTAAAACTTCGGTTTCATGTTTCTTAGTTTTAGGATCAATAAGTGACCGTATCATTGATGCATTAATTAAAATAATGAATTTCTATATGATCAGCATGATTCGTGTATTTTCCA